GCTCGAAGAAGAACCCCAAGACTTGGACGTTCTGAAGAAGCGCCTGGCGGCCGCCATCCGATTCGACATGAAGATACTGGACGCTGAGTCTCGTGTCGGTCGGATGCTGGACGACCTCATGCGTGTGCTGGAACAAGACCACCAGGAATGGGTGATAACTCAGGAGCCCAAAGTTGTGGTCGAAGTCATGGCGACGGCTGTCAAGCCAGAAGCCCTTAAGACGGCTGTGCAAAAGCAGTTACAACTCCACCGACTCTACATTTTCAACCCACTGGAGAGCCGCCAAAATGTCGTCGAGTGTCGGAGGCATTGTTGAAATGTTTTTTGGCGATAACTCTGTCAATATTTGTCGTTTGCGCTAAAATGACGGGAACCGATGGGGCCGATCAAGGCCGTCATTTTGAGCTAAAATCGAGGGAAAACGGAGCAGAATTGACGAAGTTAGAGCCAAAATACTGAGTGGTTGTGGGGCAAGTGTATTTTTATTGTCAGTTGTCATTTTATTTTGAATGAAACTGGTTCTGTCTCCTTGAAGGGGTGAAAAATATCATGACCAATAGATTTGTTTCAGCCTGAATTGGTGGTGTTTCATTGGCTAAAATGGAAGTGTCCGAGAATTCAATGTCTTCCAAGAATTCGTTGCATTACCTTAATACAATAACACATTAGGATAATAACATTCTAAGTATCAGTAACAAAGTGTATAGTTTTTGTTTGACGACAGCAAGTTGTATCATTGCATGTGCTTGGACGTAGATACTATTGGCGCGATCAAGTCTGAATAGCTTCTTTGTCGACGAAGCTATGGTGTTGTGGATGACTTCTGTGTCCAACTCATGAAAGGCTTTGTCTAGGCGATCTCGTACATCTTGAAATGTCGTTGTTGAGGTATAGGCACGTCCCACCGATCCCTTGACGTTTGCCCACACCATCTCGATAGGCTGCAGCTCAAAAAACCCGGGGGCAGAGTAGACAACATGATGCCCCCAAGCCTTTGCCATTTCGACAACAACAGGAAGGACGTGTTCGTCCAAGTGCTTCTTCAGCGCCTTCCATATCGTTGTCTTCAGGTCCGTAATCGAAACGTCAAGGATGCCGTGGCTAACACAAGCGTCGTAGAGGTCTGCCTTCTTCCATGAACCTTTCGGCGTCGTCTTGGGCTTGCCTTTGTGGTACTTGGCGTTGTCCATCACAAACACTGCGCTTGCCCACCCAAGTTCTTCAACTTCATCTATGAGCTTGTTAAACCAATCAACGAAATAGTCATGGTTGAACATAGCATGGTAGTCCTTCACAGTCCTACCATTCTTCTTCCCACCGACAAAAATGTCTAGGCCCAGGAGATGTGCCGCGTCCGATCCGTCGTCAAGAATGCCCGCGATGAAACAGTACCGGCGTCCCTTGTGCTTGGGCTTTGTCGTCTTGTCATCGGGATGGAAGAGACTGTCGGCATGACGTGCGTAGTGGTGATGAATGAAACTTTCATCCAAGTACACAACAGGCCGACGAGGAGACATGGACACGGTAGGTACCATCACGCTGACGTATTGGTCTCGTGCGTCTTGGTGTTCCTTGCTCATGCTGTACTCAGTCTCGCCAACACGCTTTCCTCGAGCGTAACCATGCTTTGCAAGAAATGCCTGCACACCTCGAAGGCACGACGAATAGCTCTTGTGGCAGTTGGGATCAATGGCCAGAATGTGATGCTCAAGCAGAGAGCCAAGACGTCCTTTGCCACAGTTCGGGTACGTGCAACGCTGCGATCACGGATGAAGGTTCTGACAAGTATTCGAACCGCGCGACAATTTGGCACGATGGCGTGGTGGTTGGATGTGTTCGACGGGGGACCTGCGACAGACAACTCGCCAGCTTCGGTAAACTCTGCAAGAACCCTTCCACAGTCTTTTTCGCCCGACCAAGGAGTTGTGCAATGGTCCCAGTGACATCAGTATGACCAGTTTCGCGTAGCGTTGCTTGCATCCAAAGTATGTCCAGCTTTTCAACGTGGGACAAGCTGCGCCTGCGGCGCAGCTTGACGAAGAATTTCATCCGAGCCAAGGTGGAAGGGTCCATTAGGTTGGAAAACTCACTTTTGCTACCATAAGTTCGCCAGGGCCTTAAAACTCGTGGGAAACGATCCGCCCAATCAAGGCGGTCATTTTGGCAGGAATTTCATCGAAATAGGCCAAGAAATGAAGGAAATAGATTGAATTCAGTGATTTTTGGTATATTTTGTGCAGGTATTTTGATGGATAATGATGAAGATGATGAAAAGTCAAATATAGAAATAGAAGGGTTTCTCTAGTTCATGATATTTTTTTCTTCTAACTTTCCAACAGCACTTATTCATTCATTTTCACAAGTAATTGAACATCATGGGTTCATTTTGAGTAAAGTTTTCACGGTTTTCAATCATATCGTGGAATTCATTTCGTTTCAGAGGCTGTTTACAAATTACTGAATTTATGAAGGTTTGACGAGTAGAATGCACCAAACCTTGTGAATTTGACCAATTCTTTGCCGATAAATCTCTACAGGCCCCTTCGATGCTCTCGCGGACTGTAAATACAGTAGCACACCTTCAGAAGACAATGTTCTTCGAAACTAACTAATTCATAGATATATAGAGGTATAGCTTGGATTTTCGATGTGACATCGGCACAATGTGTCCCGCTCGGATGGACCAAACGCTGTCCGCGGGCCGAACGCGTGAAACAGTGTTCGAGTAGCAGTTAAACTGATTTGTTAGCCGCATGTGGGCACCACAAGGCATTGTGCCAGAGGACGAGGCGGAAAGCAGGCGCCCGTACATGGCGCGGCGCTCCTCGTGGTTAAGGTGGGACTTGCCGCCATTTCGGCCATGGGGGCTCCGTGGATGGTCGGAAGTGCTGCTGGCAAGTTGCAATGGAATAGCTTGGAGTTGTGTGATGGATGTGTGCTGTTTGTGCGATAAGAAAATGAGTTTTGAGGATAGTGTGATGGGTCAAGTTTGGACTAATTGACACGGCAATATTCGCGCCCAACATCTCATGAGCAAACATGCATTAGAAGCTCATAAACTACCCGATCAAAGGAGAGATCTTGCGCTTTCTAATACACCAATCTGAATTTCGGTGATATTTAGAAAAATACCACTTATCAGAAGTCGTACCCTGCTACAACTTTGGACCAGAGTAGTAATATTTTCATCGATCCAGTCACTTATCTTGATTTAATAACCTGTGCAAAGGAATTACCTGTAAGAGAAATTCGTCTGAATTTGACTATTGGGCAAGAATTCATTGGTTTGCGCTGTCAAAACCAATGAACTGTAATACAATGATTTCTACACCACCAGGTTGAATAAAATAATGCCAATAGTGTTGTATTGGCTGAAATGGTAGTCGTACATTGAAGTCTAGAAGCCATCACCTTCGTACTTTTTCGTCATCTCGAAGTATCACATTGGAATTGCATTCAGTCGTTCCCTGTATCTAGCCAATTCGACTGTACGTATCACGTTGTTATGCGCCTGTTACATGTTAGAGTGACAACGCCCAAACACAGTCCTCAAAACTATCTTCTGGCAATCATATGTCAACCTCATATCGGTTCTCCAATATCTATCTTGTTGAGAATTTGTCGTCTTACCCTGCTATGCAAGAAAGAATT